TCTCTCTCTCTGTCTGTCTGTCTGTACCCCTCTCTGTACAATCAGATGTGTTGCACCAAATTATGTAATTGCCGAGTCATTTGTTAAAACGTGTGGATGTATAGGCTTATTAAGGCCTTTCGAATCAATCAAATCATTTTGAAATCTTGAAATCTCTCTCGGCATATCTCTCTCTCTCTCTCTCTCTCTCTCTCTCTCTCTCTCTCTCTCTCTCTCTCTGTATATATACATATATACATGCCCATGAATTTTATCTGTTGCTTACTTATTATTTGGCTTGTAATGTCTTTGTTATTTTTTATGATATTAGTAAGAAGTGCACAGACAATCATATTAAGTACGTATTGAAATTGTAACGAAAAGTGAAGTTCACACAGTTTACTATGCTATTCCCAGGGCCAGACCTTGTCAACAAACAGGCAGTACTTTGCCACAGGGTTTTGCGGGCCATTGAAACTGTTGCAAAAGAGTCAACTATCCTCACAAGGGAGACTTGGGAGGTTTTGTTGAAATTTCTATTGGCAGCAAATGACAGTTTACTGAGCCCTCCCACAGAAAAAGGTATGGAACTGCTTTACTTTTCCTCATGATGAGTACTGAGCACGTATTGAAGTGTTTTCTTGCATCTTGTGAATTGGAGATGTCTGATCAACACTGTAATGTGGAATTGTTTTCACAAGACTTCTTTAAGCATTTATTTGTCAGATGATTTTAAGAGGTCAGGCATTCAAAGTTTTGTGGATTCCATTGGTGAGATTCATTTTTGTCTTTTGACGGTGATAGTTTCTATTTCTTTCATTCAATTTTTGATATATATGCGTATAGAAGAGCCATGAATAGTTGGCCTATGAGCTGGCAATCAGATTTTTTCAGGTAGTGTCTCTTCAGTAAATAATCTAAATTATAATAATAATTATGAATAATAAGTGACATTTATATAATAGGGCTCAACCCCGATTAAAGTAAAAAGGCTCTAAGTGCTTTAAAATACAATACAATGTACAACAGTAACATAAAATGTGTTCTGACTAATTATCCGTCTGATGTGAATATCAGTGCGTTGCCAAGTGAACACTCCTTGAAAATATTAGTGAAAAGACCATCAGAATTAGGTTGCTTAAAGTATGTTTGTGATTCCTTACATGAGAAAGAAGAAAAAAATTAATTGATATACCAAATTTTCAACTGATATCCACACAGTGAATGGGTTTTTCATTTTAAAGAAATTGTCCCTCTGAAATCATATGTTATTTTAAAAAAAATTTTTTTTGAGGGGGAAAAACAATGTCCTGTCAACCGTGCATGTGTACATTGTTTTTTTTTTTTTTTTTACCCTTATGCCTCGGACAGACGTTATTGGATTGAGTAATGGTAAGAAACACACTTTTATCAGCAGAGGTGACAAGTAGCTGCTCCACACCTGTATTTATGTATATATACATATATATATATATATACATTTTCTGTTAAAGAACAATTTGTAACATCAGTCACCATATTTCATGCCTAATGCTTCACATTTGTTTTGGTTTTTTCTTTTAATGTTTTCATGTTTTTGTGTGAGTTTGTTGTGAAAGATATATTCATCTTTTCTGTGTTCTCTATTTTTTAATTTTTGTATTATTAGATCTATGCCAATGCATATTGTTGGTAAAATGAGTATAAATCTTTTATCTAAGGAAAGAGAAAGGTCATGTCACTTCACTGTGATTGTGATTAGACATTATAAAACTTTGTAGGTTTGGATTCAAAGCAGTTGTTGAGAAAAGGTATCAAATATAGGAGTCAAATGAGACCCACTACATATTATCGAGAGATACAATGCCTCTAATTATGAAATAATGAGCATGAGCTCTATACATAAACAGACATAATTTATATTTTCGTCGATGTACCCTCATTACCTTCTATCCTTCTTCCTTCCTGCTCCTTTACTCTAACCACCACAGGACATAAGGGTCTGCCTTTTCTTTAATTTACTTTCTTACTTTTCCGATCCAGCGACCATTTGGGTTCTAGCCCTTCGGTCTGAGGGTCTGTCTTTAAAATGTCTTGTTTGTGTGTATTTATATATATATATACATATTGGGGTGTTTCACCTGCACTTGAAAACAGACTTGTAATAAACAAGTTAAAGCAGAAACAATCAATCAAGCTTATTGAATTTGAACAAAAGGAGTACATTAAAGGATTTCGGACTTGGGTTGATGTGTCTTGATTTGATTATTTACAAGCATGATGAGAGTTTGTCACTCTACCACCAAAAAGTGTGGATTTTGTAATACTTTATACAGAGATTTTCTTGGTATTCTTGTAACAAATGCCTTTTGGCTCCATTATGTGTAACTTTTGTTTATTGCAGTGAGATAGTTCTGTCAAACTTGCTTGATTTTTAAATTTTAAGATGAGGCATCTAAGTTGAAATGATGTTATTTCAGTACTGTTTATGGAAACCTGATGTCTCATTGCGATGAAGTTTTGGAAAAAGCACAAAAAACCCCCGAACTCAATATTTATACCTTCAATGCATTTTCTTGCAAGGTTTTGAAAATATGATAGAACTCAATAATATTCCAAATTGAAAGGTTTTTTGTTTAAGTCTTTGTCATTTGTTTTCTTGTGATGAAAACAAGGCAATGACCTTTTTTGTAGTAATATAGTAAAAAACTGCCTTTTGTAACGTGTAGATAGTAAATGTTATGAAATTCCATTTTTAAATATTGCCATAATAATAATAATAATTGCATTTATATAGCGCATATCCATGCTCAAGAGCTTGCTCTATGCGCCATACATTCTTATAAAGCCCTGTTCATCTTGTCTTATGGTCAAGAAGCCGACGGTTTCTGTAAATTATGCTTACGCAACAAGAAAACCGCCAATGTCTTTGTTTTTGAGCCAAGGCAGTATGGGAACATTTTTTAGAAACATATCAATTGAACACTCATTTCAGAATAACTTGTACCAAGTAGAGCATATGTGTTTTGGTATAATGGGTTTTTGAAATATCTTTTTCGGTAACCTCTGCACATTCTAGGTTCTTTTTTTTCTGTTGTACTTCTGTTGTCCCTCAATGCAGTTAGTCTCATCTCACTGCATAGATTATAGTATAGAATAGTTATAATGAATTTTAATTTGTAGTCATTTAGGGAACACATTTTTGTGTGGGTAGATTAAAATTTCACGGCTTTCTTTTCCTGCGTGTGTGTGGATATATTATAAGCTTTCTCATCCATAGCTGTTTAGTATGCTTATCAAGAACTTTTCTTTTCTTTGTATAATTACCCTCTTTTGCTGAAAAGTTCAGAAATGATTCCTTTTCATATCTGTTGGTGTGGTTATATTTTTTGCAACTGCCTTTGTGTACCTTTATTTGTCACAAATTACAGCTTCTACTATGGTCTCTCATCTTGGTAACAGAATTACTTCTATAAACATTTTAGTTATTTCACTTTTCCAAACCTTTTTTTTTCTGGAAGTAACTTAGCGTTGATTTCTTTTTAACTTGAAAATATAAAGTTGGTTCAACAAACCCAGTCACATTTTGTGTGTCTTTATGGTAATAACAATTTAGATTGTTGATGAAATATCATTTATGTAACAAAATATATTTCTGGTTGAACTGAAATGTAGAGATTCTTTTTTCTTTGTTGTGCTCTTTTGTTTTCAGTTTTGAACAAATAAAATCTCCTTTTCACAGTATCCATGCTATCTGTGTGTGAGATTTAACAAACTTGTTTGTTCATTGTGCCTTGATCCGTTCTACTTTGAATTTTTGTGCACCTGCTTTTTGTTGTTGTTTTTAAGGTTTTTATTTTCTGTGTTACTACCAGTAATACATGAAAGCGCACTTAAAGAATTTTTATGTTCAGGTAACCGCTCTCTGGGTTACGCTCAAGTAAGGATTTTCTTTTCAAAACTTTGTATGGTGGATTGTGAAACAAGAGTTGCTAAAATCAATGCTAGAAAAGTGACTTGGAAATTACTGATAATACACTTGGGTAGGCAGGATGATCAAAAGGATTTTGCAAAGCTGATTATAAGTTTTTTGCTCACCAAAATTACTGAATTTCACTGACCTCACTTTGTACACGACAATAGAGGCGTTTTGGTGTGCAATGTTCGCACTAAAGCTGAGTGTAGTTTTAGTCATAGAATAGGTGAATATTCCACTACCAAGCGTACACTAGTTTACAAAAGTGAGGTTGTCTGTTGAAGTCAGTGCGACAATTTGCTTGTTATCATTGTCTTATCATTGTTTTTCCAGCAGTCTGTGGGTCTGTCTCTTCTTATATTTGGTTACCTTTTCTGCAGTCACTGGATGTCTTTTCTTATATTTGGTTACCTTTTCTGCAGTCACTGGATGTCTTTTCTTATATTTGGGTACCTTTTCTGGAGTTGCTGGATGTATCTTGTTTATAGTTACCTTTTCTGCAGTCTCTGGATGTGTCTTGTTTATAGTTACCTTTTCTGCAGTCTCTGGATGTGTCTTGTTTATAGTTACCTTTTCTGCAGTCCCTGGATGTGTGTTGTTTATAGTTACCTTTTTTGCAGTCGCTGATTGTGTCCTGCCTTATTGTTATTTTTCCTGCAGGATGTGTCTGAGCATCATGAAAATAACTGACTTGCTACACGAGAATGGGGAGACTGTGAGCCACAGTGGCTGTATTATTTCTTTCTTGTGTTCTTATGTATATATGATTGGGTGGGGTAGGGCAGAGCTGGTAATGGAATGTTTTTTTTGTATTTGATACGCCCCTGCAGTTTCTCAATAGTGTGAATGCAGTCTGTGTAACTTTTGATTGTACTTGTAGATAGTTTGAAAGAAACTAGCTCTCTACCAAATGGATGAAAAGACGACTGTCAAAGTGAGTAAAGAAAGTGACGGATGTGTGTAGCATAGTTGTTACTTCTGATAGTGACTTCATGTTATGCCATTCGAAACCCCTGTGTGGTCAAGGCTAAACCCCCTGCCTGGTCAAGGTGCTGTCTGAGCTGTAGCTTCTGCCTAAGTCCCTGGTAACTCCACAACCCTGTTCCTTCCTACCCAATTGTCTCCCTGTCCAATGCGTAATGCCGCAGTATCTTGGCGTGAGCTTACTTTTTTCTGTATATTGTTTTTAAACAGTGCAGTCTGATGTCTTGAGACATGGATAGGGATGCTGGACCATATTTAGCTAACATTCAATTAACTAGCATAGCTTTTTATGCACTAAAGTTAACCTTTTATTTGCACTTTCAAAATTATTTTCCTTATCATATTTCGTGCCCATTAATGCATTGCTTTTTACTACCATGTCTTTCCCATTTTGATGGACTCCTGTACTTTAATTTATTCTCTTTATTTTCTTCTTAGAGTTCATATTTGCTAGGAGGTTGCTTTAGATTCCAGTACAATCTGCAAATCATGATAGTCCAGCAGAATTTTCTTTTATTGTTTGTCAAGTTATCTTCCGTGCCTTTGAATAATTTCTCAAACCTTCTTCATCAGAGTGTAGTGATATCATTGGTGACTCCAGAAAATGTTTTAGCTCTTAGGAGTCACTGAAGACTTATGCTGTTACATATTCTGAACTTTGGAAAGTGACAGCTTGTTACTGTTTGTGATTGCTTGAAAAGTCTCATGGGTAAATAAATGTTTAAAAAACAATAGATATTCTGAGGTTGACAAATTTAGTCATACTTAATCTTGTCCAGTTTTTTTTCTTAAATGATTTCTGCAGCACTTTGAAATATTTGCATGTTTTTTGGTGTTTGTTGTTTTATTCTGTTGTCAGTTTGGTTTTAAGTGGAAATGTGGCATACAAATAAATCCCTGATTTTTTATTGTTTTGGGAAAGATTTTCTTTCTATCAGTGATACATGGTTGTTTTAGACCTGGACTTATAGTGGCACTAGTGTGAAAACTTGTGGACATGCATTGTTTGTGTCCTTGTCTCTCCTTCTTTTATTTGTATGTTACTCTCTAGTAGCACCATCTAATCTGTGGCACTTGTATGACCTATTTGTGTTCAAGTGTCGTAAAACTCTCATTGAAACTAAAACTGAAAAAAGTTTGGCTCTCCCCTCAGATGACATCAGCGACCATCTGTGTGACCGAGTGCTGAGCGTGCTGTTCCTTATCTGGCTGACAGCATGCCACAAGAGCTTCCCCTCACCCTCCTTGTGGAAGACATTCCGCAGCATGTGTCTGTTCTGGCGCCACCACGAGGCTCTGGTCACTATGTGGCACCGAGTCAACCACGCCCTCACTGCGCAGATGCTGAAGATCATGTATGGGCCAGACTTCCCTGACATGACTATAGGTCAGTGCTAGGTCTTCTTGAGTACAGTTGAACCCGTCCAGTAAAGCCATTCATTGTCAGGGGGAAAAGATAAGATACATCTTTATTGTCCAGATCCTGGCACTTTGGTTTGGTATTTTACCATGTACAGACACACACACACGCATGCAGGCACCACACACACACAAACATGCTCACACATGCAGGCTTTCAGCCACATGCATAATATAAATGAACAGTAATATAAACAATGATAATCTTTAGCTAGATACATACTCAATGTTATTCTGATGCATGCTCTAAGGTCATATGAATACTTGTAACAAGATGGTTAAGATGGAAGAATTTTGATGGATGATGGTAAAAATGACCTTCTGTATCTTTCTTTGATACGGATCAGAAGCCTAGGTCTTTTACTTCTGACTGATGTTTTTATTTGAGGTCATCTTAGACAGATGGTTCCTTCCTTCCTTCCTCTAGCTGGCCTCCACTAGGAGGGCGGCAATCTGCCACAGGCAGACAGGTAAGAGGCAACCTTGTGTGGGCTCGTCCAGAGTACATCTGGGCCCGGTCTTGCGTTTTAGACAGGTGGTCCTCTTGGACAGTGTCATTATGATGTATAGAAAAAGCACGGAGGGATGAGTATGAAGTGGTCGTTTGTTCAGGTGGTTGTCTTGAACAGGTGCTCATCAGAGCAGGTTTAGGTGTATTATAGAGATAAAGGGACGGTCGTTAGACTCCTTTATATTCTTGCTCATTTCCTTTCAGCTTGGTTTCTGTGGGGACTGTTGTTGTCTGTATGAGTATGTTTTAACTTTTCAGCTTTACTTTTTGAGCTTTTTGTTTGTTTTGGTCATCTGAAGACCTTGTTGGACCTAGTAAGTAGTGCTTCTTCTGCGTCTATCCATTTTCTTTGGTGTTGTGTTCGGTTCTTTTCACCTTTTCACCTCGCTGACTCTTCTTTTTCCATCTATGATCAAGACTAAAAGAACCCACAAGACGAGATGCCAATTTCTTAGTGAGAATGATTGTTGTATCATAGAAGGTTGCTCATTTTAGTGTACCCATTTCACTATTTACTGTTAATGAAGGATTTCACAGATACTCTGCATTTGGAGAGAGCTCAGTTCTTGTACTTATGTTTTGGTGAGGGGGGTATAGAGCCTGAGGAGACAGTACTTGTTTTCTTGAGAATGAGTCTTGTAAGGCTTAATTGTTTGTGTTACCAAAGAGGGAATTGCTGTAAGATGGATTGCTTTTGATGTTTAAAACCTTTCCCGTTGAGGATGAATTGTATTTTTGTTAGCTTTTTGCTTGACACCTCCCTGCTGTTGAAGGGTGTATGCACTTTCTACCTGCCACTGCATCCACACATCTTGGCTTTCCCTGGCTGGATGTTCACACAGAGAAGTGAAATGTGCTAGTAACCTAAGTGAACGTGTATGTAGCTTTCTGAAGTGACTTTATGAAACAGGATAAAGCAGCACCAATGCTTTGGTGTTAAGACATGTGGGCCAGCTCATGTCAACCTCCATCTGAAAGTCAGACTCAGGTTAATGTCTCTCTCAATGTCAGATTAGATATGCCAACTCAAAATCACCATATGTGAGGCGTCGTGGTGAAATCAGGTGCTCGTCAAAATAATGAAACTCGAGAAATCGTCAAATTAAACGGCTGTTTAGAAATTTTTTTCAAATTTTTGTTTTTTGACTCAACACCTTGTGTGTCAATTCAAAAACACCTTTATATGTAGATTTTAAAGAAAAACGTTAATTAAAGGCACAACAAATTTGAATTTGCAGTTTCTAAGGACTGTTAAGCTATGGAAGTCCCCAAACTTTGATGGCCAATTTCTCGCTAATTTTACCTCTGAAACCAGGCGACCCCCACCTCCTTCAATCGGAAATATCTCGACTTCTATTCAAGATAAATGGATAATTTTTTCATCAAAAGCAAAGCAAATTGACAATCTTTTAGATGATACTATCACTCCATATGCCCAAAAATTGACGAGCGCCTGATTCCATGGCATCGTGACACATAATTGGCTCAACTCTTTTTTAATCTTCTCTTTCATGTTTTTCGTTTGTTTGTGAACTCCAACATTCTCAGGTGAAGAAGAGTCCCAACTGCTCCCAGTGGACATGAACCCGGAGTCTGTGGCTCAGTGCTGGTTTCGTTTCCTGCACATTCTCCAGAACCCCGTGGACTTGAGCCGGCCGGGAGTGGTCAGCAACACGCCAAAGTTCCTGCAGCATGCACTGACCAGTGAGGCTGTGGTTGACCCCTCCTACCACCCTTGCCTGGCCCGACTGCCCCTGGTCTTTCTTCGAGCAATGAGGGGTATCTCGGCGATGGTCAATGCCTTTTTAGGTAACTTGTGCTGGAATGTATCGACAGTATTAGTCTCTGACGGTGTAAATTAGTGAATGGTTTCTTGAAAATTTTTCTAAATGCCAATAAAACCCCACCAACCTTTTTTGATTGAAACGATACGAATAGATACAAAGATTAACCCACAGTGCTTTTGTGCTATTTACAGCATGTGCCAACGCGTACTCATGATTTTTTAGTCAAATCTGGAGATAGACTTCGGCCAATATTTTAGCTAAAAATGAGTTTATGCATTCTTCTTAGTTGCTTGGTTAGAGTATTACACAATCAATATTTTTGTTAACTGGTATTTTGTTCAGTATGATATATTAAAACATTTTACATTTTTGTAAGGGGGCTCTCGTGGCCTAGAGGTTAAGGTGTTGGCCTCTCACTCAAAAGGTCCCAGGTTCGAATCCGGGTAGCGACCGAAAAATTTTCTTCTCTAAATTTGTCTCCTTTCACCTCTTTTCCTGCTCTCTAGAAATGTTCTGTCGTCTGCTTTCGTCTCCTCTTTCTGGCCCCACCCCCTCACCACCTCATTTGCCCCTTCCTCTGGGCTCCTGATTGTTTCTGCAGCCTTTCTACTGCTACTCCTTCGCTTCTTCTTACTGCTGCCTTTCAGCCACACCCCTGATCTTCTGATAGGAAAGATCTACACCTAGCCTTCTCGGACAAGGGTGAAAAATCTCGGAGGGCCCGTGTGCAAGTTGCGCACGTTAAAGATCCCTTGGTGGTCTAAAATCGATAAGAGTAGGCTTCGGCCGCCACCCGGGCAAAATTCAAAATTTCCTACCCACTGAAAATATTAGGTGCAGGGCTGCCTAAATCTACCGATTTTTTCGGTAGATACCGATAAGGTGTCAAAACTACCGTATTTTCGATGGGTACAGAAAGAAGAAAAAGAAGAAAAAAACTCGATCTGCAGTGCTTCCAATCTTCTTTGTTTTTGTGTCTATCCGTACATTCCGAAAGTTCCGTACTTGCAGCATCATCATATCAACCCCATGCGTTAGAGAGAGAGAAAGAGAGAGAGAGAGAGAGAGATATCAGCACTTGCCTCCGTAACTTGTCAGATATTTACGGCAACTCTCGGCAATAAGTTGTATTAGAAACAGCCAGATTGCGCATTTCGTACACTCGACCATTGTCTATCTGTGCCGTTCGGTCGGCAATAGTTTTTCGCGTGCATATCGGCTAAAATGTCTACTCAGAATAGATAATCTTCCTCCTTCCTTTCATCCATTCATTCTTTGTGTCTATCTTCGGGTTTTTGCTGCGGCTGGAATATCTGTCCGTTTAATTCAAAACCAAATCTGAAAAGGCTACTGAGTTCATATTTTACCGGTTGCGTTTGTGATACATGTATTACGTTCGGCGTTCCCCAGTCAGAGAGTACGTTACACGCGAATAAGCGGCTATGGCGGCTGGCAGAAGTGTAAGTTTTAATACAGATACTGAGACTCCATCGGAAAAATCAAAATCTACTTTCACTTTTGTAACCACTCAGATTATTGTCTGGTGATAGTTTGACGTAACGTTAGATTTACAGTTACAGTTAATAAAAATTTGTAACGTGCAGTTTGTGCACAAAAAAACACAGTGTCGCATACAAATTAAATTGATATTCTCACTGCTGTCACTATAATGACAAAAAAGAAAACTAGATCCTCCGATTTCTAGATTGTCGGGCCTGTCATCGTGACCGGTCAATGAACCTACAGTAGTAGGTGTTGGCATCGTGTGGGTACAGCATGAGTAAGGGACCGGCCGTCGGTTGTTGGGGTAATTGAAGTTTATTCAAAGTTGGAGCGTTGCGGGGCTTCAGAATTGACACAATAAAATCTACGGCAGCAGGATGAGGCCGCAGTGCAAGAAACAGTTTCTAAAATAAAAACGATAAGTGGATGTGGTTTTGCCATTCGACAATCGAGTGCGTAAATGAGGGAACATTAGAGCACAAGCTTGATGATTGTATCTTCAAGGTTGGTGTTCCCGGATTTGTCGGATTTACCAATGATGACAAATTGAATAGTGATGAGGAAATGCCATTTTCAACCCTCGGAAAGCTCTATGTTGGATGCCTATGCATCATGATGGCTTGTTGCTGATTAAATACTGGTACTGTGATTTAGCATTTTGAAAAAAATCAATACTTAGTCCATGATGCAGTGATTCACTGATTGCCAGGTTTTCAACATCACTACATCCCACACTCTCACTGTCCTTCCAGCTCCGGCTGTCAGTACACACTCTCTTTATTTTCACTTTTTGCTCTACCGTAAGCCTAACTATAAAGGTTTTATAAATAAGTTTTGTTTTACATGCTTTTTAAAATCCGTGATTGCAGAAACCAAACATGGTTTTGGCAGTTGATGTTCTTCTTGCCTCTCCTCAGGCCCAGATCAGGATTCATGTTGTATTTTTAGGGCAAAACTAGAAAAAATTGTCTGTGATACTTAAGTCACAAAAGACATCAGTGTCCTGTGCTAGTGTCGGAAAATATGTTTGAATGTAGTTTCTATTTGTGTGGGCTAGGGGTTTTGAAGTCAGTTTGGCAGTCACCCTGCACTCAATTCCAGATTCAATACTGAATGACAGGTGCCTTGAACGATAGTCCATAATATAAATGCTTTAAAAAAACCTAAACTCTCCACATTTCAAACACTCTGTTAATCTTAACTTGTTCGCACCCAAACACCCCCTTCCCCTCCCCACATATAAACACACGCTTGAGCATGCACGCACTCACATACGCACACACACACACTTTCACACACACTTTCACACACACACACACACACACACACACACACACACACACACACACACACACACACACACACGTGCATGCACAAACAAGTTTTCAAAATATAATTACCCGATATCACGAAAATCAAGCGCGTTCGATGGGGCAACGATCATCTTTTTTTTTCCTTCTTTGTCTTTGTACTACCTGATTTTGGGCCAAACTACCTGAAACTGACCCTGAATCTACCTGAAATGGGAATTTTGAGGTAGGCAGCCCTGTAGGTGTGTCCCACGCGCTCATATGACCTTGTGCAGTTGCGAGCGCCGTAAAACACTTTACAAAAACAAACAAACAAAACATTTTTGTACAACTGAACATAACAAGGTAAGAGTTAACAGTTTTTTATGTGCCTTCTTGGGGGGGAAAAATATTTATGCCTGTTCAGATTCCTTGATATGAACTATCATCATTATAACCTGTCAGATCTGAAACAGACATTGGCGATCATGGTCTGCCTTTGTGATTTATTTGCTTGGATGCTCTTAAAAAATGTATGTTATCCCTGTCTTCCCTGTCTCCAATCTGTTTAGGTTCTCTAAGTAAGCTGTTTTTGGTCTTCCTCCTCTTCATTTGCCTATTTTATCCATTGAGAGCATGTTGTTCAAAGCCTGTATTTCTGTTCAGGTGTCCAAGAAACTGCATTTGTCTCTTCCTAATTTTTGAAAAAATGGATGCAGAATACACTAGTCTACTGCCTCTCAAATATTTTTTGCGAATTGTTATACTTTCTCCTTGTGGACTACAAGGCACTCGTACACTCTGTAAGTTTGCTTTATGTCACTTTCCTAGCGAAGCTTTCGTGTAAGGGTTTTCTTGTTTATTTTCCCATGAATTTGCCAATTTGTGTATAACTGAGTTTGTGATTGTGTGTATATGTGCATGTGTGAATATGTGAGTGTGGCTTTGGGGGGAAGGGGTGTTCATAATTTTTTATTCTGGTTGTTAGCCCCTTTATTTTTGTTGATGCTGTGAAAATGACTATGAGAACTTTACAAATATTAGTTTAAAAAAATGTCATTTTAAGATGATAACTACCTCTTAAGTCATACTAAAAACCCTTGTAAATAGATTTTCATTTTATCCCAGGCCTGCCTCAAGAGATGAAGATGGAAAGCCAGGTGTCAGAGGTGCTGCCCAATGTGGTCGGGAGTAAAGTCGTGACCACGCCCTCCACCCCGCCAGGCCAGAGAAAGGCAGCCAAGACCATCTCTGTGCTCACTGGGACTTTGGCTACCAAAGGTGAGTTGGGTTTATTATTCTGAAGTTTTTAGTTTGCCATGGTGACAATCTTTTAAAGCCGTTCAAAAACATTTTTTCTTGATCATGTTTAACAATGATAAAGCTTCTCTTTTTTAGTTTCAGTAAAAGTTTTATGGCGCTTACAAAACAAATAAGTTGTGTGAGTGCTGAAGATTAGAGGTATCACTAGAGAGAAACATACAAAGAAAAGGAGGAGAGATAAGGAGGATAGGTAAATAAGAGATGGAGCAACCCATACCAGAACACCTGCCAACCACCCACTAAGCTTCTCTTTAAGGAGACTTTGACTCACTCTTCCAGTTACACAGAATGTTCTGACACCTGGGTTTGATGATGATAGACTTATAAACTTCGATGTTGTTCATCTGGGTTGAGGCTGTTCAAAAAGTCATGGCTTACTTAGTTTTCTTGGGGTTCTGAGAGAATGCTAGTAGCTGAGAAAAATAAGAATCTCCTTTTAAAAAAAAAAAGTGTTTTACGGCGCTCGCAATTGCATAAGGTAAGAATCTCTGTTTTACTTTGTTTCACTTCACAGAGTGAGCAAAAAACCCCCACTATTTTTTAATAATTTTTTTTTGTGATAGCAACACCCTTCTCATCCTACATACATTTCTTCTTCTTCTCAGTTTCATCCAAGTCCCATGCAGCCAAGAACATTGCAGTGCCACCTTCCAACAGCTCGACGGTGGAGAAACTATTGCTGGACACCCGCCTGCCCTATGCCCCTCAGCGTCCTCATTGCAACAGCATCCTGCACCTGTTTGCTGCCTGGCTCTTCGATGCTTCGCTGGTGGGAGTCAAGCTGCACCCATCCCATGCTGCTCCAGGTTAGTTTGTCTTCTTTGCTCTAGATCGTCATCAAGTGCTAGATCTGTGACTGACAACTTTGATCATGGTTGTCCGTTCGTTCCTTTACTCTAAGAAAAGCTACGTTATCATAATGTTTCCCTGTCACCCATCTGTTTAGACTGTCAAAGCAGTTTTCTCCTGGTCAAATTCTGCCTTGTTTGCCCTCAGTTATGCCAGTGAGAGCTAGATGCTCAAGGCCTTTATGTCTATTCAAGTATCCCAGAAACTGTATGTCTTTTACTGATTGTTTTTATCAGTGAGCAGGTGACTAATAAAAATGAACTCCTTAACGTAAGGACGTTTGTTGTATGATTACATTGTACCACTGCCATCAGATACAATACGTAGTGCCTAGACAAGAGAATGAATGGGATACAGGGTCATCCCAAAAACTGTACAACTTTGTTTCTAAATATCTCACACAAAATTTATACTAGAATGTTATAATTTGGAACAGATATAATTCTTTCATAAGGAATTTGTTTGGCATAAAATTCACAAAGAAGAAACTTATTTTCCAAAACGGAAATGGCTTTTATATAAACCACCTATAAATGCAAAATGCGCCAATTTAAAAGATCCTGTAAGGAAAGTCTTGAAATGATTGGTTTGTTTTTTTTCCTTTCCTTTTATTAAAAAAATCTAATCTTTCCATCCTTGTAACGTTTAAACAATATTTCTTTTCTCCTACAGAGTTGAAAAAATATTTTTTTAAATTCTAGAATTCGAGAACCAATGGTCTATATGTCCTTTTTTGGACTCGACACATTTTAACGTGTTGTTCGTAATGTTCAGTTGTGGCCAGACACAAAGATCCACTCAACCATGAGTACTCAAAGCCACACACAATGTACACCTTACAGTTTGGAGCTGTTTCTAGAGACAATGGGGGGAGGGGAGGGGAGGAGGCTGCCCAAATTGACAGCATTTGTGCAGTTGATATAACCTGAAAGGTGAATATGGGATTTGCCAAGGAACCAAATGTCGTAGGGGAAATGTTCACACTTTTCAAGACGATAGAGGAATCATGAACACATTGCTGTCCTCTGATAGCTTTGCGAACGGGAAAATGTACAGTCGTAGATGAAGATCTGCTTTGAGAATGCAGACCGTTGAGATGTAGGAAAGTCATTGCTGCAGACATCGTCTACGGACAGACGTCTCTTTGGGCCCATCTACTGAATTCCATACCTTGGTGACGTTTAAAGGGGTGCGAACGCTCTGTGTTTGACCTGAAGTGGTCGTTTTGTCTGGGAATTTTTTGTTCTGATTCTCTACAAGTCCAACTGAAGAACTATTTCCACCCTTAACATCAAAGAAAGCCTTAAGGGCACTTTAAAATTATTTGCGTACCTTGTGCAAAACTTACGAAATGAGTTGGTGGTGAGGAAATGTCCTGTACAAAAAGCTCTCTGCTCTTTACTAATCTTAACCATGATCTCAGCAGGCAAAGAACACTTGAGAAAAACTATCTACAAACTTCTGTTGGCCTGTTAGACTACTGTGGTTTGCAGTATGGCGCAATCGTTGGGATATTTAGTGGAGGGCCTAATGCGAACTAGTGCGTTATGCTTCAAAAAGGGGGACTGGAAAGGTATTTGAATAAGCTATCACAATAGATGGGTTGCTTGGTTCTTTGTGCGCAATTACACAATACAGAGGGGGATAATAACTGAAAAATAATTAAATTGGCTAGTTTGATGAGTGTTATCCAACTTGGTGTCACCATTACCAATGAATTAATGACTGATACTCAACAGAAATGTTTATATGTAAATCGCCTTTGTAATAATACCACATACGTTGGTATTCCAGCACAGATCTTGTTCAATAATTTGGAGTAATTGAAATACACGAAATGCTAGCCGGCCACAACCCAGATCTCCACTGACAGTATACCAAGACCTGCAATCAGCTCCTAATTCGATCCTTATTATAAATGTAGTACTTGTAGTTGTACCAGCTTTGTTGGCATTGCTAGTGCTGGATCTATACCTTGGGGGCAGGTTATAGCTAATTGACAATTCACCTACTGCCCCTGATAGAGTACGACGCCAACTAAAAATCTGGTCAGTTTCATCCCTGTTGTCATTATTGTCAATGCTATTCCCATCTGTTGGAAATTGCTATTGAAGTCTAAGTCAGTGTGGCTGACAATGTTGTCATAATTAAAAGCTTATATTAGTCAAGTCGATCAGCAAAAAGCTTTACGGGGCTTTCATTTTGCGTGAACTGTTGCCCCAAGCCATTGTTGCTATTGTTGACAAACGGGTTTGCTTTACTTCGTTAGACACTTCGGACTGAAGAAACCTCGCAAAATTCTCTTTAAAAAGCCGACTAATAACAAAACTAGCAGTGAAGCTTCCGGTCTTAACACAAATACATTCGAAAGTCGCAAAATAATAAAACCATATGAGAAATGACGACGGAGTCGTTCCTCAGCGGAAACCGCGTTCGGCCGGCGAAATGAGTTGAGACAGACAGGGGCCCTGATTAGAAACCTCCCTACATGGGAATTGGAACTCAAGTCTATTGTGTGCTATGGCAAAGTGTGTAACTGCTACACCACAGAAACCAGTTGTGTGTCTGGGAATGTATCAGACTCTTACAGCTGCAAAAATAGTGTACTTTTAAGGTAATAATATGAATGATAATAATAATAATAATAATTACAGTTCGTCTGTCAGTGTTTGATGACCAATGCATCTGCAAAGGAGAATGTTTCTCAAACAAAATGGAAGAATTAGAAGAATCAAAGGTTAAGATAACTTGTGGATTCTGTTATGGCAGAAAAGACCAATTCTGACAGAGAAAAGTTTGCCACATTTTGAGCATTCCAAAGTTTCACTTTCACTTGTAGGTGTGTGCAGCTTGCAGGCTTCTCTTGACTTCAGCATTTCTTATAACCCTAAAGGAATAAAGTCGAATATTGTACTAACTGTAGTGATGAATTTTTTTCAGCCAAGGAACGTCGCACAAGTTCTTTTATAGAGTCCAAGCACAGTTCTCTGTCTATGGACCTGAACACAGACCCTAACCAGACCCGGGACGTGGCCTACCAGGCGGGCCGGGCTGAGGCCTGTGGGGCCCTCTGCCGCATCTTCTGTGCTCACAAGACAGGAGAGTTCATCCTGCCAGAGTACTACTCTCGCTTCTACATTGTCATGTACTATGGCTTGCAGACTGATGAGGTGCGTTAAGTTGCTTTTTGTCATGTTTTTTTGGTAAAGAATTGTTTTCAATTGTTTTGTGAGAATGGTTGGGTTTTTTGGTGTTTTTTTTGGGGGGGAGGGGGGCTTTTTTGTTTTTGTGTTGTATAGTTGTGTTGGGTGTCTTGTTGTGCGTACCAGGATTTTATTGCCTGTGGGTTTAAAGTTTTTCTCTTCTAGGCTTGTTTTTGAGACTTTTGCATGTGGGAGCTATACAGGGATCTTATCCATTAAAAAAAATCTCTTAATTTATTGAGCTCCTCGAAATCACAGCTTTGAAGTTCTTCCCCTTTGTCAATATGTCAGGTGATTGATGGATGGGTCCCTCTTCAACTGAGGCTTATTTCAGGCTGATGTTAAAGATAAAAAATGGGAGGAGGGAATGAGAGAAATTTTTGTCATGCCTTTGCTAGGAGGGTTCTTATCTTAAAGAGGAAGCAGAACACTGGGTATTAATATATTTTAAGAACTTAAACTTAGTTTTTGTTTTAGTAGAGGTTTTACAGCGATCGCAACTGCTTAAGATCATATGAGCGCCAGAAGGTTAGAGGTGTTACAAGAGAGTAACAAACATAAAAAAGAAGAAGAAGAGATAAGGACGATAGATGTTTGGTAGGAAAGAAGAAGCAAACCACACCAGAGCACCCGCCAACCACCCACATTTTAAAAACTTAATTTTTTTTAGGGGATCTATATTGAAAAACATTTTTCAAAAATATGTAAATGTGACCTGTGGATTGTTTTTGAAGAGATTGTCATGTGACTTTTGCAGCAGTCCATAAGTGGAGAAGTGCTGTCCAACATCCTGTTCAACTCGTGTTCACTGCTGCGTGTTGACCTAGCTGGAGTACAACTGCTGTTGCCACATATCTTAAAAGCCATTGAACTTGTCCTTAATAGAACAGCACCAGATTTCAAGTAAGTGAATCTCAAGTTCATGGGGCGAAAACATAGAGAACGCCGATTTCGGAGACTGACTCAGTAAGCGCCGATAGGTATAAAAATTCCCTTATTATTTCCAACTTGTCCCACATAGAGCTGGCCGACTGCAGGCAGCTTTAAACTTGGATCGGAGTTGTCGGCTTTATCGGAATCCAAACTACATTCTTATTACGCTGAAAAACTGGGAAGGGCGTCTCGCTGTCAACTCGCGACCGCAGTGCTTTCTTGTCGTATTTCCATTTTTTAACAGTGAAAGTGAGACTTCTTCTTTAAATCACATTTTGTTATAAACTGTTTTCACTGTTATTAAAAATGGAGGTACGACAAGAAAGCACCGAGGTCGCGAACTCTCAATGCCGTCTCGCTGTTGCCAACTCGGGTTCAGCGGTTTGTGTGACGTCACCCGACTGGACTGGGGACAATTTTAAATGGTTATTTCAGAGCTGGTGCTTCACGGTAGACAAAAACTAATTACATTTTTGAAATCAGCATCGTCAAAATAGGGTGGTCACAGAGCAGAATTGCATTTTAAGCAATATTTAAGAAAATAAGTGTTTTTTTCCCCAAAATATTATGCTTCATGAATACCAGCTGTGTTGTGGTGAAATTAATTTTATTTTTTTTCTTAGATCTAGAATCTAGATCTAGATATCTCGGCTTTACTGTGTCAGTCAGTAGAGTGTGATTTTGAAGAGACGAGGCCTGTGTAGTTTTTCGTTGTGCGTCTAGAGATCTGCTTATCTGGCTGTGTCGTGTCTTGTCAAAATGGATGTTGATGAAGATCATTTCTATAGCGCCCACTCCCGTGTAAACACAGCTCTAGACGCTTTACATAAAAATACATGTACGAACAATATTCACGCACGCAACACAAACACAAAAATACACACACTCATACACACACACAAACACACACACACAAAAACACACATACACACTCATGAACACATAACACGCACACATGTGCACACACATGTACGCCAAACACACACACACACACACACACACACATGCACACACGCATCTACTTGCTTATCACACGCGCACGCTTACACATCGTCACGAAATGAGCATAAAATAATCTATACAATGCAATTCACAAAATACATAAATGGATACATAGTCATTTACATAACATTGTATTGAACCTGAATCTACAGACAAAAAACGATGTCATTAAATGTGTCTTTAAAGATTTAAAAAAATTAATTTAGACTCAGATGTTGTATGTCTCAAGGGTTGGGGAAGAGAGTTCCAAACTGACGGAGCAAGGTGGGCGAACGATCTTTCAGCTAATTTTTTACCCCCTTTTCTAGGAACTCTTAAAAGATACTGATCGCTTGATCTTAGTGATCTAGATGGAACATACATCTGGATGAGATCACTAAGATATAAGGGAGCTTTGTTATTGACACATTTATGACATGATATTGCAATTTTATATGACATTCTACCGGACACAGGAAGATAATCTCTCTCCTTTCCCTCTCCCTCCCTCTCCCCCTCTCCCTCCCTCCCTCCCTCTCCCCCTCTCTCTCTTCCTCTCTCTCTTTCCCCCTCTCTCCCCCCTCTCTCTCCCCCCCTCTCCTCCTCTCCCCCTCCCCCTCTCGGATGACAAGTCCATTCTTGTAAATTTGTAATCACTCAAGACCTAGAACTAGATTCTAGATACGGTAGATGTAGGCAGACTAGACAACAGTAGATCAATGCAACGCGAGCTTAAAGAGATCGGCAATAGGGGCTCTCTATGTGGAGTCAAGCAGACACCGACTGGCGCCTGTCCGAGTCGATCTTCAGCCGCTTAAGTTTCGGCTTTCTTTATGTTATCGCCCTTAGAGTGAGATTTGCCCACCAGCTGATTTTCACATATCTGTGTCAAATGCTGAGCTATTTACTGAAGCAGCAGAGAATCTTGTTGTCAATTGAAATGTGGGTTTTTTAGTTACTGATGGGAGGACTTTCATTGAATTTTGCCTTTTGTTTTCAAGTAGATAAATGTTTAATCTTATTTAAAGCTATTAAACTACGTATTTTCAAGTCATTTTGCTAACTTAAAACCTTTTTTTCTTTTTTGTTTCTTTTTCTTTTTAAGAATAAGCTCTTGTTCACAATTTGGTTATTCTTATTTCATTTTGTTAGTCCCAGATATAGTAATATTTTAGTGTCCCAATTGAAAGAGATGTAGAGCTGGCTTACCATAGAAAACTGCATCTCCCCTTGATGCTTAATGGCAACAGAGGATGAAAAAGTAAAAGCAATGTAAGTAGGTTCTTTGAATTGAAGAATTTTTCCTTTTGTTAATCTATGGCAGACTGTGCGAACAGATCCCTTACACAGAGCTCAGGAAGGCCAGCATTCACCTGCTTCTGTCCATGCTGTGTCTCCCCTTGCACTTCAAAGATTTACAAATCAAAGGTCAGTGTCACTCTGCTTTCTGTCTTCCTTCTATAACATATATTTTCTATTTCGATATTTTTTCATCTAATAAATGAAGTCCTGGTAAAAGAGACCTGTTTTCAGCATTTGCCGAGACCTGTTTTTGGCAATTCCCAAAAAGTAATTTGACGTCGAAGTAATCATGAAGGAATGTGCCCGGTCCGCTGCCAGGAGTTGAAAAAAATTGATATGTATGTATGTGTGTATGTACATGTTTGAGAGGTATGCATTATTTTGGGAGCAAGATTGAGCTTTGAGGCTCAAGACGAATATTCCCAACATGACATGGTCACTGATTTGATAGTTTTGAGGAACTATTAAACAGCATCAGTCACCACTTTGTGTTAATGAAGGGAAAGAATGACCTTCAGTGGGCCAGCTTTTATAAGACAACTGGACACTTTGACCACGCGAGAGGAATACATTTAAGTATGTTTATAGACCAGTGTTACTAAAAAGAGATAGTTCCCGTTATCGAGAATGTCCCTGACTGGTTACATGTCTTTTCCAGGCATGCCAACTATCCGGAATTTATTTCTGGGGTCTGTCCCGCATTTGGCAATCAGGAATTTTAAAGCCTTATCACATACACTACATTAAAAATCAGTCCCACATGATGTAATTTTGTGAATTGTTGTATGTAATCTCCTGTTATGACCTTGGTTGTTCCTGATTGGTTTTGCATAAGTTGGCAAGCCTGCTTTTGCGATGCCTGTACGAGGGGGGCTCAAGAAGTCTTTGGTCTAAGTATGAAGGAATAAAGATACAGCTTGGTAACTTGGCACACATACTTTCATTTCTCTACATAGTCACGAATCTGAGTAACATATTTCTACCACCTCTCTTTGACCTTCAAAAGTCCTTGAGAAAAAAATTACCCAGAATGGGCCCCTATACGTCTTTAACAGCTTCTATGGCATCCTCATTGTCATGGAAACGACATCCTTTGAGTGATTTTTTAAGATTAGGGAACAGAAAAAAGTGAAGAGGTTAGGTCTGGTGAATAAGCTGGGTGTGGCAGGATTCCAAAGCTGCTCTGTTCTGCTGTCTGGACTGATTGTTGTGCCCTGTTCGCAAGAGCGTTGTCATGCAGAAGGAGGACCCCATTACGGAGTTTTCCCCGCCTTTTTCTCTCCAATTCTGACCTTAATTTTATCAGCAAACCCGAATTATAGTCCCCTGTGGCTGTATTTCCATTTTCCAGGTAATCAGTCATGATGATGCCTTCACAATCCCAGACACATGACAGCATGACCTTTCCACTTGATGGTGTTACCTTTGCCTTCTTTGGTGAGGGAGAAGAAGGGATTTTCCATTGCATGGAGGACATTTTTTGTTCTGGATCAAAATGATAAATCCATGTTCATGTTTTTAAAGAAATTTGTGTCATTGGACTCCATTTGATTTGAAGGAGAGTTTTGCTGGACTCAACCCTCTGCTTCTTTTGCTCACTTGTCAAAAGGCAGGGTACCCACGGCGCAGACACCTTATTCATGTTAAGACGGTCATGGAGAATCATTTCGATTGACTCTTCCCTGATTCCTGCTTCACTTGAAAGCTGTTCTACAGTTATACGTCAATCTTGTAAAACCTGTTTCTTCACTATGGATACATTCTCTTCAGTTACCCCAAAGGATGGGTGCCCTTCACGATCTTCACCCATCACCGACATGAATCCAGATTTGAATTTTCTTACCCAGTATGTCACAGTATTATAACGAGGACATTTGTCACCATAAACTTGGACCATTTTCTGAAAAATGTCCGAAGGGGATTTTCCTTGCAAGTGTAAAAACTTGATAACTGAGCGATATTCAACAGGCTCCATGGCACAGCTTCAGCAAAGAAACACTAATCGTTTTTGTGCATGGTTTTACTGAACATGCTGACTAGTGTCTTAATATTGTCCGATTTTCCTGAAAATTTGCATGGTGTGTTCCAAAGAAATTGTCTAATGGCTGGTGAAATTTCATGACTCTACCATGATTCCTTCATACCCAGACCAAAGACTTACTGAACCCCGAGCATGATATTTATAAGCGTTTTCATTTTTTGTTTTCAGCACACTGAAACTATCATTCTGTTCCACATTTGAATGTGCAGATAAAAGAATACTTCTTTGTCCTATTCCCTGAATTTGTTGACCTGCAGATATTCTGAAGAAAGATGACAATCAACCTACTGTGACCTTCATATCTCTTCGTACGCGGATCACAGAGCTCATCCGGGTGGCTCTTACAAATGAAACAGATTCCCAGAATACTCAGATGTTGCTAGGTACGTTTTTATCTGTTTCTACAGTTTGTGATATGCTTGGTATTGAGAAATTTGTCTTGTCCTGTTTGATTCAAGCATTCCCTTGGCTGCATTGCAGATTTTTTACCTGTCAGTATAATTTACTTTGATATGTTAATTTGCTGATAAATTTATGCTCACTTAAATTTTGTCTATGGGAAGATGATTGTGATTGCTTGTCTGTTTCCATACTTTTTGCTTTCCTGTTTTCCTTTCTTTGTTTTGGACCTTACTTGTGTGCCTTTTTTTTTTTCTTTCTTTGAGTTCCTTTGCCTGTCTCCCCACACTCATCTATATTCTTGGACAAAAAACTTTATACTTAGAGGGCTGACAATTCCACCCTTAAAAGGAGTTAAAAAATATGACCCTCCTGGTTAAAATCAGTCATGTGAAGGAAATTTCAAAATTTAGTTCAAAAACAAAATTTTGATAAGAATAGTCTTCATGTCAAATGCAACAACATGTTAACATCGTAGGCCCTACTAAGTACGAGAAACTAAATTTTCAAAGTAGCAGTATGTCAAATTTGTCTGTTCCATGTGAAAGGCCTGTGTCTCCTGTGAATTTTGGTACCATACTTTTACCTCCTCCTCAATTTTTAAGAAAATGGCAGCTGTTTTTAATTTAATATGTAATCGAATATTGCTAAATTTGCAAACTGGCTGCAACCCCATGTTTGACAGAGAAAAAAAAGAGTACCAAGTGCACCAAACATCTCCACATTAATACAGTACAATCACTATAACATAGAAATGAAGCCCAATTTTTTGTTCAAGACTGTGAGATCTTTACAATCAGTTTTTTATTGTCGCAGACATGATGGTCTGTCGTTATTGTGATTTAAAAAAAAAACACTGAGCGCTGTCCCGGCCGGCGCTGCACTGGTCCCCGCGGTGAGCGAGTCAGCTCTAACTATAGTGTACTAAGTGTTCCCCGGAGTTTCGCGAAAGGAGAAAGGATTGAATCAAAATAATTCCAAGCTGATGACTTTATTCTAATAGAAAAAGAACTGTTCTTTGTATTGGTACCTTTTTTGTTCCGGTATTTTACATAATTCTTGTTAAAAATGATCTTTGAAAACTTGTATGCTTTTTTAAAGGCTTTCTATTTAAACGCCAAAGGCCAAAAATATACCACGGGAAGCCCTGTTCAAAGCTCTAAAGAAGTTGTTTGCCAATGAAAAGACGGTATTTAATCATCACTCTTTCTTCAAAGCATTCGAATGCATAGGTGTCAATTTTTGAACCGGCAAACCTCGCATTCTAACTACGACGGGCTTTGTTTTCCACGGCGATTCTCTAGCTCCAAATACTCGGAAAAACAAATAAATTGCGCTATTGAAACGAAAAGAAGCTTAATTTTTTTAAAAGGTATACAGTATTTGGTGTATTATAGCGAAAGAGCAAAGAAAACAAACGATCTAAATTACCTTGATTTCACCGAAACCACACGCTCGGAAGTCGCGAGTAGGCTTACGTGCCACGTTTACGCTTCCTTGATTCCTATATAAGTTTGCAATAGCACCATAAACACATGAGCGCACACACGCACATACACACACACATGCACACCCAAATACACACATACACACACACATACACATACATACACACACATGCACTTAGATCGCCTCAGTGGCCTCTTGGTAGGGAGTCCACCTTTGGAGATCTAGAGGAAGATCAATCTTTAAAACCCCCCCCACTAAAACACAATAAAAACGAACTTTTAAAGTCAATCACAGTGTAAAACTGAAAGATCAACAGCCCATAACTGAGCTAGCAGGGCACGCTTAAATCAATCAGAGCCCTCAGTCATTTATAGTTACGCTAAGTTGTTGTATTTCATAGCATTCATACTCGAAAAGGGGTCTAAATCTAAATATAGGGGCGAATAAAGGATTTTGAAGCAATGTGGCCATGAGGTAATGGCTCTATAAATAATCTCACAGCTACACACCAGCAGGTCAAATGTTCGAAAGGGTTTAAGGTCCAAATTCCTTTATCTTGTCACCCCAGCTCAAATCAAACCACACACACACCTCCAAAATAAATCGAAATAAAATAGTAATAGTCGTTTATAGTTGTTTATTTTGATGTTAAATAAAGCAAAAGTCATTGAACTTTCAAAAGATCCAAAAAACAAAAAAATCAGGGAAAGTCACTTTTTAGCCTTGCGAGCCTGGTAGCGCCGAATAGCACATTGCGTCTTACGACTGATTTTGACCGGGTGGGACACAAATGTTATTGACTTGTCATCTACGCAGGAGGCTTCATGTTAGTGGTGGAAGACCTGGCCACATGTGAGCAGGCTGACAACATCCCACTTCAGCCGCAGCAGGACTATTCTGATACAGATCTGCACCCAGGTCAGGCACTGCTTTCTTTTCTGCCACACGGCATCTTAAGTCTTGCGGTCATGCCAAATGAGCTATTATTCATACTGTTTAATAATTGTTCCTTTATAGAGGCACCACCCATCCATGTATAGGTGCTGTTTTTAGCCCTATTTTGTAGATTTTAAGTGAGTGGTGTGCGGGTGCTCTGGTGTGGTTTGCTTCTTCTTTCCTATCAAACATCTGTCGTCCTTATCTCCCCTCTTTCTTTTTTGTGTTTTTTACTCTCTTGTAACACCTCTAATCTTCTGGCGCTCATATGACCTTTTGCAGTTGCGAGCGCTGTAAAACCTCTAAAACAAAATTAGAATTTAAAAAATGTTAATATTGAAACTAATTTAGTGAAAGTTTTGCGGCACTTGCAACATAAGGTCTTAAAAGTTCTGAAGATTGGAGGAGTTACAAGAGAATAACAAACACGAAAAGAGGGAGGAGAGACATGGTCAATAGATATTTGGTAGGAGAGAAGGGGCAAACCCAACCAGAGCACCCGCCAACCACCCAGTTTTCAGAATTTGTAATGAAATATTTAATTGCATTTGAGGTCCTTGAAGGAAAAAGAACATTAGTCCCTGGAAGAAAATTGAGGACTTTTGTTTTTCGGTCATATATTGACGGTCATTAAAAACGCACCACTTACAAAACAATTCAAGTAGTGGTGATGTGTTTATTTTTTAAAACAGATAGTATACCATTGCATTCTATGGTCATTTTGTGAACATTCACAGCTGAAATGACATGAAAAGGTCAAATGGCATCGCAAGCACAAAAGCATGAAGTAACAAAAGTCATTTTAAAAAAATCAGAGCGGTAAATTGAGTTTTTAACACCTGCTTTAGTATCGTGTATGTCCTCTATTGGCCTGTATACAATGTACAGGATTGGTAGCGTCTTCTCGTGGAATTGACAAGAGTCTGAAAGAACATCTTTGGAATCTGTACCCACTCATTTGTCAAAGAACGCCTCAGCTCTTGGAGATTGTGTAGAGGTCTTCCATGGGACAAACGGCGGCCTAGCTCGTCCCACACATGCTCAGTTGGTGTCAAGTCAGGAGACAGTGATGGCCAAGGCAGGACATCGATGTTGTTTGCCTGTAGAAAAACAGTGGTGACTCGAGCGGTGTGGGGGAGGGCGTTGTCGTGTTGGTATAACTGCAGCTCTGGGTGTTGACCAAATAACGGCATGACGTGGTTCTTTAAAACCTGCTGGTACGTGGTGACATTCACAGGCTGGTCGAAGAAGCACAGTGGTGTGCGATAATCGTGGCTGAACGCTCCCCATACCATGACGCTGTCTCCTCCCCATCTATCGACCTCCAGCATGCAACAGTTGGCATAGCTCTCGCCGGGGCGTCTCCAGACCCTTCTTCTCCCGTCAGCATGCGACTTTCGTCAACTGTAAATGCTGCCTGGCCTATTGCAAACGTTGTTGACAGTGCCTCTGTGTCAGGACAGGACCAACGTACGAGCGTCTGGCTGCAAGTCCTGCTTCCCGCAAACGGCGTCGCACGGTCCATTCAGATGCTGGTCCACGCCGACCAACCACTTGACGACCTGTTTCTGGTGCTGGCAGGAAACGGTCACGAAGGTGACGTTGGCAAATGTAACGGTCCTGCGCTGGTAATGTAACTCGTGTTGGCCATTCCATCGTCGATCTACTGTAGATTCAGTAGCTGCATTTTGTTGAGACAACTGGATTACAGTCGAGTGGCTACAGTTCATGCGCCTGGCAACTTGTCGTGCTGCCATTCCGGCTTGGGGCATTCCAATTGCCTTTTCACGTTCTTGCATGGAAAGTCGCGGCTTTATTTACGCAGAAAAAATCTGTCGCACAGAGTAAAGAATGTCAGTTTTTGTTATGGGTGGATATAATCCCTCCCTAACCGCTAAAAAATCTGTCTCGCTGAACAAAGTTTAGGTTTGAGGTCGACATATCGGATTTTTGCATGTTGCACGTGCGCATTGACAGTTTTGAACTGGGAACTTCAAATTTTGTGCGATCGGTAACCTCTGTTGCCCGCGAACTTTTGTCAACCTCAATTGATGTCACTGGATAGATTTTAGTCCAAAATGTGCTCAATCCAAAATGGTGCGTTTTTAATGACCGTCAGTATATGTTCATGAGGACGACTGCTGTTCTTTTCTTGTACAACCGTTTTAGATGTCACTAGTGTTGGACAATAAAGATCAAGCTAAATAGTAGATTAAAAATAAGCAAAAATTGGATCTCGTGACAATGCCATTTTTCCAGTGTACTCATTATTTTGGTAAAAAGCTTTGGTTTTGAAGTTAAATGAACATTAGTCTTTCATTGAACTAAGAAATGTACAGTTAAGTGATACTAGGATTTGGTCATTTTCTTTCATTCCACTCCAGTGGTTCTTTTTACTGGTTGTCCGAGATGTGCAATCTAGTAGATCATAGAGTTACTGTGTCCTTTGACATTATTTTTATGTTTTGTTCTATTCACGAAGGCTGTTTGGAAAGATAGTTTTTTTAAAGTTATGAGCTGGTTTAGGTTTTGGGTCACAAAAAGTCCAAAAAAGAATCTTGTTTGTGAATGATAACGTTTATTTACCTAACTTTTTGCCACGCTGTACAAGATACAATAGTGGAATGAATAATGCTTATTGTAAAATTGCTTGAACCTTTTGCCTGATGGGCATAAAACCTGGAACTGTCACCCCGATTCAAAACTACTGTCATGAACTTCAAAGATTTTCATATTCTTTCAAGAAAAAATACAAATTCAGTCTGGTTCATAAATAAAAATTATAATATTTAGTCATGTATTCCAGTCATGTATCTGTCCAGTTGCTGACTTACAACATGAATTGTCTTCATTTTCCCTCACCAGACACCAGCAGAACCAGTGCCAGCACCACGTCTACAGAGACTAACAGCTTTCAGGACACTTCTTACCATAGGCTACATGCTCCGCCACCCAAAAATCTAGGTAGATGGAAAAGTTTTATGTTAGACAGTCGACCTAGATTTGTGCATTTGTGTCTGTTCTACAAGTGTTGTATGTAAAGGTCTCCTTCAAAC